TGGCTATGGAGAACAGAGCGAGCTGAGGGTGAACCAACGTCCCATCCTCTGACACCCGGTTCTGACCGTTGAGGAACTTCAGGCGGCCATGGAAGTTTAGGGCCTGAAGACAGACAAACGTTTACACACTAACAGAGACAAGAAGACTCAAATGAACAGTGCCTCTGTTCATTTGGGTTTATTTATGTTTATTCCTACTGAAATGTGGCGATATATCTGTCGATACAAGAAGCCTGCAGTACACAGAGGCAGTGCTGTTGGTAAACTGCCCATTAAAAGTCTGTATTTATTAGGTATTGGGGAATTATCCGATTTGACTCTACAACAACATCCAGGCTTATTTGGATAAAATTACACCCTTGTGTAAACTAATGATCAGTTTAAATTTGATGTGAACACAAATGCTACTGTGAATCAGGGAACTCAGTTGAGAGTCTTTTGTGTTTTTCTTTTATTTGTTGCATTCAATAAAAGACAGAACTAGCTTAAACAACATTGTCAGAATCTGTTCAAAAATTACAGGAGTGAGACAAAGAGATTTACTTTCTTTGTGTAACCAACAAATCAAAGCACATGAATTTTCCCTGTGAGCATCATCATGTTTGACCTGTTTTAAAACAAAGCTCCAAATCATTTACTCCCTCTGCAGTTCGGCTGCTACAGTAAACACTTTGTAGGTCTTGGGTAGTGCTGGTCGATGTTTTAATTCTTTATGTCATGTAGTATTTTGTCTGCTGTAGTGCAAGGTGTGAGCCGCAAACAAACTGCCCCTAGCGGGATTCCTAGATTAAATAAAGCTGTTTGTGTTGTACCATTGTAAATATCTGAACCACCCAGAGGCTGATGCTGTTGCCTCTTGGAGCTACAGTATGTCTGCTCAGCTCACAGTCAGGGGCCAGTTTGTTACCACCCAGTAATGAATCTTATAAAATACAGACTCTCTGTGGTGGTGTGTGGTACCAGGAAGCCGGAGGAGTTGTCGAGCAGGCAGCGGAAACGACAGCTGAAGTTTCTCTCCAGGAAGGACGAGTTCTCTGGAGGGATGTTCTGCGGGTCGTAGGTCCCCACACTGCTGCTGATACCTGCAGAACCCATTGTTACTGACCCTACTGATGCAGTCTTTTCTCTTGTTGTCAGCTAAAAGGCTTACAAGTTCAAATTCTATCTGCACTTACTGGAACTCTCTGCAGAGCCATCGTGCTGACTGGAATTTGGGTTGAGGGCGAAGTGAAGCTGTTGTCTGAAAACAGCTCGGTCGTCTGTGTGGATCAACTCAAACACACTCTGATGGATGACGTCCGACTGAAAACAGAGAAACTAATTATTGTCTTCATCGTTTCTCTGTTATACACCAATATTACTAGAATTTACAGTACAGAGAGAGAAAAAAGGTACATTTAGGCTGAATAAGATGAGATGCCTTGTTTCAGACTCTGTAGTAAAACTGTCCTTCAGGGAGTTTCAGTGCAATAAACATCCTTCTCAATTCCTTATGCAAACTGGAAAACAGCACCCTTACTGTGTTTCCTGCTACATTAATTATTCTGACTTTATTTGGCACCATTTTGCAAAGTCCTACCTGTTTATGCATCTCAAGTGGATCTACTGAAGCATGGTTTTCATTGTTGTGACCATGTTTTCATGCTCGAAACAGAGATTAAACAAAGGTAAAGTGGAAAAATCTTTTTACTCCTTCCATGAATACTTTTTTACTGATTTACTGAACTAAATCAGTACATCTAGCTAAACATGATAAAATAATCCAAAATCATTATAATATTCCTAGATGAATATCACTTTTGGCTTTTTCCCATTGGGGGTCGTCACACTGGCGATTTGCATGTTAACATCTGGCACATGTTTTATGCCAGATGCCTTTCCTGATGCAAACCTAACTCAAACCCGGGCCGCAGCGGGGAGAGTGCTGCACCTGAACCACTAGTCTATCAGGGAACATTATAATATTCCTAGATATCCAGGTCTATTTTTCTGCAGTGGCCAGAATTTTGTGGCCATTGTGTGATCTGAGTGTTTTAGTGAGGCCTAAACTTGAACGACAACACTACAAACAAATGAGGCAGCAACACTGAAATCTGTATTTGTGAGCACAGGAGGTTTTTTTATCCAATGTGAAATTTAGCTATTTGCCAACACAGAAAGAAATTGTCCAATGAGTTTCATGTTTCAGGTCCTTCACACTTAAAATAAACTAGAAAACACATATCAGCATCATCGACTCTGTGTCATCTCAATCTTCCCACAGCTTTCTGTGTTTAATCTCAGCGCCTGTTTTATCTGCTCTGCATTTAGTAAGGTTTATAATGGTAATAAACAGTCAAAATGTCTGGTGGTTTTTGGGCTTTACCGGCCAAGTTTTCTTCCCTGATTAGCATCCTGATTTCTGTTATAAAAAAACTGTGGTGTGTATTATAGTGTGTGTTTTTACGTGCACGAGCGTTTTTTTTTCCAAATGTACTCTGCTCAGGCAACACTTTTTTTACACCCAACTGCAGACATTTTTAACTCAGGTTCAAATGGATGTGTTTACAAGGCAAGAGTTCACAACCAACACAGCAGTTCAGTTCTCAAGCACACACACAAACACACACACATGACTACCATGTGGTTCTCTGTCTGACTCGTCTATGCTGACAAGCTGAATTACTCTGAGACCTATGCACTGAAAATGATGTAAATTTGAAGGTGCACTGGCACCACACTGACTGACAAACCCAGTGACAGTAGGACAGGACATGGTGTCTCTCAGCTACACCAACCCTCCACGATGCTCTGCTGCCTATAGCCCTTCTCCATCCTATGTTGTCAAAATACGGTCTGTAAATTAGCCCCGCCTGCCAACTATCCAAGGTTAGAAGAAGTGTTTTGTGAGGAGCTCTCAGCAGTTGAAAATCTGAAACAGTGACTGCCAGAGCGAAGAGGAGGCGTCTTTTGCACAGAGAGAGTCAGCAAACTCTGGAGTTACAGAGACACGTCTTCTTTCTTTGGTTTGGAAGCAGGTTTGTAGACATTTAATTGGAGATAATATTATCCTCAGAAAGTCTACAGACCATTCC